TTTCAAAGCACAATGGGCCAGAATGTCTCGTCCAGTTGATGGTGGGGAGGTTGAAATCACCACATACAATTTTGTAAGTGAAGTCCACATCGTGCCAAACGTGGCTGTGAGTGTGAGAGAGTGTAACTAATAGATTGGGAATAACGTAGGAATACTAAATCGTATATTATTAGTTATACCATAAGAATATATATGTAACAACAGTCGATATATAAGTTTCAGCAGTTAACGTCCATTTATTCTTCGTTAGGATGTAACGAACCCGGATTGATGTTTCATAACACAATACTTCATTGATATTGTTGTGACTAGAAAACGATGACTATTGTAGATTTCATTTGTATTTATCCGTTAAAATGTTTCTTGCCTTCAAAAATCCCAGAATGAAACTTCTATACACTACAACTGACCACTTTACCCAGAGAAAGCATTCCGAGTTCTCGATTGGAAAACCCAATCATTAAGTACGCTCATCTCTGATTACATTGTATTCAACAAGTGTGAATCCTACCTGGTTGTATGTTCATGAGCGTTTAGTTAGGAAATGATTATTGTGGAAAATTCTACTACGACATCTAGTCAAATTCATTGGTCACTTATCCACTTTGATGAAAAAACACAAAGAGATCGGTAAATTCACATGTGCATGTGAAGAACAATCGTGTGACAGTAAAACAAATGAGCCAGACAGGTTTGATGAATAATCTACTGATTAGAAAAGACTTATATATGCAGAGAGAATATCGGGTATTAGTCAATGAAATTGATACGGTTTTCCTGAGAAGTCGGATAACTGACGAACTCATTAGATGATAAACAGAATGATCTCTGTTCAAATCAATCACATGATCAAAATTGAATTGTTATTGGTTGTGATGTAGGAAGCAGTTATCGTCACTGCATTGAGATATTGGAGAAGAACATAAGTATGTTGGTTCAAGATAATAATGTTTAACGAGAGTGCAACATTAAATCACGCACAAACATCAGTTATGAGCACATCAATATGGAATGAGAACTAGACTTAATTGACGAAGTAAATGACACAGTATCCTCAATTGTTTTAACATCAACATAGAATTGACCAAAACATGGGCATGTAAACTCGACGAAAATCACTGTGAGAGCCATAATGACTATTCATAATGAAATAAATGACCAATACAGTTTGCATTCATCCAACTGGTTAGAAATTATTCATTTTATCAATGAGCAACCACCCAATTGGTCAATTTGTGGATATGGGAAATTCCACCAATCAATTGATACATCTCTACTATATAAACAGCAGCAGCAGCCAGCAGAACAGCAGCAGTAGTCGTTATTGTTATTGTCGAACAATACACCATTTCTTATACATTTCAAGTTACATCCAATGATTCAATATTCATTCGTGATCTTTGTGTACATTTCAATTCATCTTTCATATTGTTTGCACACACAAACAAATGTGGCACATAACTTTACATTGTTATCCTCATGTGAGCACTGCCCGAAATGTAATACAAATATGCATTGCAACTACGCACAATGGATAGTCAAATTGGGACTGTTAGAGCAGATGTTCTCACAAAACCACTGGTTGAAGATAGTCCGAACGAAATCAGACTGCCTTACTGAATGCCGATCTCATCCACAGTGTAATCTATACACATATGAAATTGTAAGTTTAATATACATTTTCACTAAATATGTAATTGTCTAACTGATATATCACTGTATATATACATACTTCCAGTTGAATGGATGATCACCGATTCATCTCAACATCAACATATTCTGATATCTTAACAATAATATTATTGTTATGATTAGTTGTAGAGAATAAGAAACGTTTGCAATTTTCGACTGTATGGAGTGTTTCATTGAGATGTCAAGTGTCCAATTTGAGCTATTATTATTACCATTAATATTAGATGGAATGCTACATGCATCAACCATTTGATGTATGAATTGCAGATATACGTTACATTTCAAACTTCTCCTTATTTACAGGTCAAACCGAAATGGTGCAAACTGTATTCTGGACTGATTGAAAACGCTACGATAAACATCAATTCAACTGAGCATATGACTGGAGGAAGAGTGTGTTGTTTTAAGTTGAAATCATGTTTATGATGGTCATATTAATTATAATGATAATCATAATGAGGATTGTTTCGAATATCCATAATTAGGGCCAGTGTATTATGGTTTGTATGATTAAGGTTAGTTGTGTTGTATTTTATTTCAGTGAACTGAAATGACATGAATCATTTGAGAATATGTAGTTGGCATGAAGATTGAAGCAAGTGTTTCCATGCAAAGTTGATCTGTAGATCTGAGCTAGCGTTTACTGATAAATGCACCGAGTGTCCATTGTCCATAAAAATGTCAGTCAGTCAGCAGTCAGTCAGTAAGCAACGGTTGACGGACTTTACAGAGAAGTGTTAAGTGAAGTTGAACAGTGAAATACGTTTTATCACAGTGTGTGTGTTTGTAGTTCCAGTCAGTATTCTCGGAAATTCAGATATTCACCAACCAGAATGTTGCAACTTATCTCATCGAAGCAACTCCTTCCACTATTATGTTTGCAAAGATGCTTCACATATCTGATGTTCCTCCAATCACTAAACTATAGACGATTACGCATGATTGAATAAGAATGTTTGTGGTAAGTAAACGGACAAGTTTACACTGTGAACTACGTACAATTCACGGTAATCGCAATTACTCATCATAATGAAATTTCTTATTAAGTAAATTGTTTGTTGAATATCTGTCTATCTGTCAAATGTTAGATATCAGTGAATATTTTATTGCAGTTTTATATTTGCGTAATTGGTTGGCTCTAATGTGAGTCAATCATCTATGTACATCGGTAGCTCTTTCAAACCATCGTCTTCTTGTTTATCTTACATTCTTAAACCACTGTACACTTTCTTGTGCATTCAATGAAAGTTGTAAATGCGTTTCGTTCCTCTACTTACTACTGTACTGTACTGTACTTTACTTTACTGTACTGCATTGCATTGTACTTCACTATGTCAAACATTCTGTGACTAAATGTAAATAAACTATTCATTTGTTGTTGACCAAGTGTCGTTCTTTCGAAACAAAAGTTGAACATCAAATGTATAGTCGAAAGAACAATCGTATGCATTGTAATAGACAAGGTGATTGGATCGTGTTTCCTTTCATGGATAACACTGAACTATGTGTGAAGAATCTGAAGAGAAACTGACGAAATTGTAGTTGATTGTTGGTCGAGTAGGTTGACCGATTCGATTATCTCAGTAAATGACACCATTTGACTGATTACGTAAAACGGAACATTCAAACTACTGAACTTATAAGTCCGTCTTACGAAACCGATCATCACCATCGGAATTATTCCGTTCACCTGTTTGTCTCAGGGGAATTAGTACATTGATCACATAAACTAAAATATCAACATGCAACACCCGAACCAAGAGCAGTACGATGTGGAAACTGTTGCGTTTAAGCAAATGCACAAAACATGTGAAAACTGTTGCGTTTAAGCAACACTCAAATGTGTATAACTGCTACAATGATTGAGATAAAGTAATTACAATTATAAATACAATAAACGTTATAAGTATATGTAAATATTTCATAAAAATATGACACGACCAACTTGCCTGACAACATAAGCGTGAAAATTGTTACGAATACAACCACTTACTGAATATTATTATAAGTAGTATAAAACAATACGCAAAAGAGTGGAAGAGAAGCGGGTAAGAAAAATGTTATACTAACTAAACAATTCGTGTTGAAACATCTTCCAAATCCACAAATGTACAAATATCGATCAAGTACGTGTTGTTCTGATTAGCAATGTGAACTAAATCTGCTCAACAATATGCTAAGATTTGTAGTTAGGAAACTGAGAATTGAAACGTGCACTACGTTGCATGAACTATAGACTTAGTAAATAAAAGTTAAAAAGATTTATACTATGGATTAGGCATAACTGTACAGTGTACAGTACAGTGTACATTCAGTATGTGCATTTGAATAAATACCAAGCAATGATGAGCGGAGATCTGTCGAAATTTTATCAAAAATAGATTGAGTAGAGTGATGGTCAATTGATGACGTTTGCACAGTTGATGTTACACTCCACATATTTTCCACAGTTAAGATGGATGAAGGAAATTGGGAAAAGATTGTGTTTGCTCTGAAACCTATACTAGTAGGATGAAGATAGAATGAGGAATCTCTTGGAATGAATTATTGCTTCAGAATAATATTCCGATTCGTGCACATTGTAGTCGAATTTCAAATCTGTAATCAGTGATTACATGTTGTACAGATCTACCTTACTGTTTACATATTGGGACTGATCAAATTTATCACGATTGTTTGTAGCAATGCGTTATCGACGTGAAAGGAAGCATATGGTTGAATGGTGAATTCAGACATTTGATGGATGATCACAGATGTCTATTCTAGTCGATCGATCATTCTTACAATGTCGAGAAACGGTTAAGCGGAACGGTTCCATGATGTTCACCGTTTCGATTTCAGGCATCTCAAGTCTACTACATAATTGTCATTGCTGATTTGTGCCACGTGTCCACACACAACTGTTGTCCATATCTCAGTCACTTTCATGTTAATCAAACACAATAGATATACAAGGGTGAGTGCAATCATCATTTGAAGAGTATGAGATGTACAATGTGTGAGTGAATCTGAATTGAAGTAACCACTGGAATTATCATTTCTAATCACTGATTAGACTACTCATCACAAATAACATGAAATGAACACCGATATCAGTAGATTGAATAGTAAATAACAAACACATTATATTTGACATAGTGAATATCAATTATGCATTACATATGCAACTCCGCCTGTAGCTCTTCTAGAGTTACTGCCGGTCCCAAGCCCGAGTAAAGAAGGAGGGTTGGGCATGGGGTTAGCGTCCCCATCCCGTAGAAAACTAACTCGCTAAAAAAACGCTTGCCAGAAAAAATAATTCAAACCATTTTAACTCTGCCCTGAGAGTTAGAAGGTCTTCATTTAGAAGAATTATGACGCTTCATGGTGAAAGCCGAGTTCCTTCGGAAGCCACGAGGCCGATGCCCCTTCTAACAACCAGAGCAAAAATTTTTATAGGTACATGGAACGTTCGAACAATGTGGGAAACCGGGAAGACCAGCCAAATAGCAATGGAAATGAGGAGATACAACTTAGCAGTACTGGGAATCAGCGAAACCCACTGGACCCAAGCTGGACAGAAAAGGCTAGCTACGGGAGAGATGCTGCTATACTCCGGTCACGAAGAGGAAAATGCTCCACACACTCAGGGAGTTGCTCTAATGCTGTCCAAAGTAGCACGAAATGCACTTGTAGGATGGGAATCTCACGGATCCAGAATCATCAAAGCATCATTCAAAACAAAGAAGGAGGGGATCTTAATGAATATTATCCAATGTTATGCACCTACCAATGATAGCAACGACGACATTAAAGATCAATTCTACGAGCGGCTGCAGTCAATCATAGAGAAATGCTCAAGAAAGGACCTCACCATTCTGATGGGAGATCTAAATGCCAAAGTCGGAATAGACAACACTGGATATGAAGATATTATGGGACGACATGGACTGGGAGAAAGAAACGAAAATGGAGAAAGATTTGCAAATTTGTGTGCATTCAACAAATTAGTCATAGGAGGCACAATATTTCCACACAAGCGTATACACAAGGCTACATGGATCTCACCGGACCACACTACAGAGAACCAGATAGATCATATTTGCATCAACAAAAAATTCCGAAGGACAATGGAAGATGTGAGAACCAGGAGAGGTGCTGACGTAGCTTCAGATCACCACCTAGTTGTAGCCAATTTAAAACTGAAGCTAAAAAAGAACTGGACAAGTGGACAAACAGCACTACAAAGATTCAATACAGCCTTCCTTCGAGATACTGACAAACTCAGTGAATTCAATATAGCTTTCAACAACAGGTTCCAAGCCTTTCAAGATCTACTGAAGGAAGAAGAAACTACTATGGAGGACAACTGGAAAGGCATCAAAGAAACATTGACTTCAACGTGTCAAGAGGTTCTGGGCCTAAAGAAACACCATCATAAGGAATGGATCTCTATAGAAACACTGGACAAGATCAAAGAAAGGAAGAACAAGAAGGCAGCAATAAACAACAGCCGAACACGAGCAGAGAAAGTCCAAGCACAAGCTGAATACATAGAAGCAAACAAGCAAGTGAAGAGGAGCATTAGAGCCGACAAGAAGAAATACGTGGAAGAACTAGCAACGACGGCAGAAAAAGCTGCTAGAGAAGGAAATATGAAACAGCTTTACGATACAACGAAGAAACTATCAGGGAAATACAGTAAACCAGAGAGGCCGGTCAAAGACAAAGAAGGCAAGCCAATCACTGAAATTCAACAACAGCGAAACAGATGGGTAGAATACTTCGAGGAACTCCTGAATAGGCCGGCTCCAATGAATCCACCGAACATCGAAGCAGGACACATAGATCTTCCAATAGATGTCAATCCACCAACTCTGGAAGAAATTAGAATGGCCGTCAGACAAATCAAGAACGGGAAAGCAGCAGGACCCGACAACATACCAGCTGAAGCACTGAAATCAGACGTCGAAGTAACCACAAGCATGCTTTACCCTCTATTCAAAAAGATTTGGGAGGAGGAACAAGTGCCAATCGACTGGAAAGAAGGACACCTCATCAAGATTCCAAAGAAAGGAGGTCTGAGCAAATGTGAAAACTACAGAGGCATACACTACTGTCAATACCAGGGAAAGTGTTCAACAGAGTGTTGCTGAACCGGATGAAGGATGCAGTAGATGCCCAACTTCGAGATCAACAAGCTGGATTCCGAGAGGATCGGTCGTGCACAGACCAAATTGCAACACTACGGATCATCGTCGAACAATCAGTTGAGTGGAACTCGTCACTGTACATCAACTTCATTGATTATGAAAAGGCATTCGACAGTGTAGATAGGAGGACATTATGGAAACTTCTTCGACATTACGGAGTTCCTGAGAAGATTGTCAATATTATCCGGAACTCATACGACGGACTACAGTGCAAAGTAGTGCATGGAGGACAGCTGACAGATGCATTCCAAGTAAGGACCGGAGTCAGACAAGGCTGTTTACTCTCTCCCTTCCTCTTTCTTCTGGTGGTCGACTGGATTATGAAGACCTCAACATCTGAAGGAAAACACGGAATACAATGGACAGCTCAGAATCAATTAGACGATTTGGACTTCGCAGATGACCTAGCCCTCCTATCACGTACACACGAACAGATGCAGATGAAGACAGCCAGTGTAGCAGCAGTCTCTGCATCAGTAGGCCTCAGCATACACAAAGGGAAAACCAAGGTCCTCAAATTCAAAGCGGAGAACAGCAATCCAATCACCCTTGATGGCGAAACTCTGGAAGATGTAGAATCCTTCACATACCTGGGAAGCATCATCGATGAACAAGGAGGTTCGGATGCAGACGTAAAGGCGAGGATTGGCAAAGCAAGGGCCGCATTCCTACAATTGAAGAACATATGGAACTCAAAGCAACTTTCAACCAATATCAAAGTGAGAATCTTCAATACGAACGTCAAGGCAGTTCTACTGTATGGAGCTGAAACTTGGAGAACTACAACAACCACAATCAAGAAAGTACAAGTATTTATAAATAGCTGTCTACGCAAGATACTCAACATCCATTGGCCGGATACCATCAGCAATAGCCTTCTGTGGGAGAGAACAAACCAACTTCCAGCTGAAGAGGAAATTAGGAAAAGACGATGGAAATGGATAGGACATACATTACGCAAATCGTCAAACTGCATCACGAGGCAAGCCCTAACTTGGAATCCTGAAGGGAAGCGAAAAAGAGGAAGGCCAAAGAACACATTACGTCGGATAATAGAAGCAGATATGAAAAGGATGAATTACAACTGGAAGGAGCTGGAAAGGATTGCCCAGGACAGGGTTGGATGGAGAATGCTGGTGAGCGACCTATGCTCCTTCACGAGGAGTAACAGGTGTAAGTAAGTAAGTAAGTAAGTATTACATATGCGTCTGTCAACTTTCATGACAACTATTTCAGTGGTGTTATAATAGAACATACGAATCACTGGGGTACCGTACAGTACGCCTTCATGTTGTGGTGTCGTCAAATTTGTAAGTGGACTGGAATTCGCTGACAGTTTTATAAAGTATAGTATGTTCAACTGACAAAACTCTCATCGAAATCGCGTTCCAACGAAGATTGTTAGGCAAGCTCACTGAAACTGAACGATTCGAGATGATTATTTTGAAGTGGAAATACTTCAATCAGTTGTTGAATGTTAGTTAGTCTGACGCTGACAATTGTTCAATTGGCCGCGTCAAACTGATTTACTGATCTAAAGCGTAAAATATAACTTTGTACATTGAATTATTTTTGTTGATTCCGGAGAATGAATGATCAGTCCGAGTATTCTAATGAATTGCATTAAAAGAATGAAATGTCGACATTGAATGTAGTAGGAGTAGGCTTGTAGAAACGTACAAATGTGTAGAATCGTACGTATATGTGATTAGGAAAAGCAAATTTTTTTTCATAGGTCAAATGCAGTGCAAGTTGAGTGTAACTCTGAAACAACCAACTAGCCAACTGTGTACTTCACTCAACTTGATTAGTTTACTCATCAAAATAGCTGAAATCTCAAACACTAACGATGCCTCAAAACAGCATAACCCTACAAACTGACTGATATCAGAATACTGTGTGTCATGTCACTGAGAATAAACTGTGCTTCATCATGTAAAATTGTGTGCATATGCACTGGAATGAAGTCAACTGGTAATTTTGGGCGACACAAGTGAATACTAAACATTTACCTTATGTCATTAGACAAGTCAAAACATACTACATTCTTCAATTGTGTCACCGAATTGAATGAGGCGAACACCTGAACTTGATGAAGCCTTTAATCAAGTAAATGTGAATAAAATGAGATCATTTGGTTGAGTGGAATATTTTCATTTCACTCAATGTTGATTGTATTTCTTGTGCATCTAAGTATACTTCCGAACGATTTAAACCATCATTTTCGTTGACATGATCTGAAATAGACTAATCATTAGATTGAATTGAACATATTTGCAATTGATATGTGTTCTGTTATATTCGTTGCATTCTGTTCATTCGAGTAGTTTGACTAGCGTTTTGTACATCACTCTACATTACTACTTTTCGGTATTCAGTAGTCTGTTTGTTTACCCATAACTTTCTTGTATCAAGGCATACTGATATGTGTTTTGTTAGAGAATATTCTCGACCACATCCATACATTGAACACATTCAATTTATTGATTGATGCAATCATGTCACTTCAATGCTTGCAACAGATATTTTAAATTCTTATGTACAGATTGAACATTTGATAACTTGCTACGCATTACCAGATTACGGTAGCGGAGATTGTTGAATGGTGGAGATTGTTGAATTTAGATTGATGTCACGAGTGGATCAATTTTAGACCATCATTGAAAACCTGAAAGCTGTTAATGACCGTTTTGTCCTGTTGGTGGACTCCTTAGCAGTGCGTATTCTCTATGCCACACATGGACTCGAAAGCACGACATCCCATCCAGTACTTGGACTGTGATAATTAGAAGTATTTGAATTATTGAGATGGTGGAGAAGATTTGTAGCTCAGGTGGATGATTTTGGTGGAGTTTTGTTCTCTGAGCTGGATGGTTTGGTCATGGAGCTTTCATCGTTCTTCTGAACGACATAATCAGCACAAACTTCAGATAGAAGTTTGTGAATTATTGTACAACCTGAGAATCCCCAAAATACCGCGATCTTACAAAAAAGTACTAGATGTGTGGGAACGAATTGTATTTGGAATTCGAAATCAAGCAGTCATCAGCTACAAATGGATCATTAGTTCAAACAAACACTACAATCGGAAGGGACTCACCGGCGTCCTGGAATTGTATACAATCACCACGTCGGTTGTTTAGTGAAACCACTGATGTCTAGAATTTGAATCACAGACTCTCCAACACTATCCTCCCTCACAAAATAAAGTAGGGTCTTTACGTCTCAATGTTATGACCAAATTGATGTGCCCAATTCGTATCATCTTCTCATAGCCTGCGCTTCGAATATTATATGTGAGTATTTGGGGATACGCACTGACACCTTATTTGAGGCATCTCGTCATGTGACTTTGACTTGCATAAAATACACGGTACATGTTCCCGTTGTTTTCCATATTGGAATACACAGATAAGTATGTCTAAGCTAGACTGGATTGCAAAAATATCATATGGGAAATGTGCATCTGCATCATACGCATTAGGATAATCTTCAACCCGATTTGGATTCTCTGCCTGTGAAAACGTCATATCTGGGGAACTAGTTCTCTAATTGCTTTGGAAAAACTTTCTATTCTCTCTGATTCATCATACCACTGACAAGGGATTCTACTCGACAGAAATTGATTTTGAGACTATCCAACAACTGGTGCTATAACATAAGAAATGTGGCTAGAATTCGACTTATTCGGAACATATTTGTCACTTTCATTAAAGATTATAACTAGAGATAGATTCCTTGTAAAGACAAATAA